AAAAAAAAAAAAAAAAAAAAAGGCCAGACATGCAGGAACACAAAGAAATTAAATTACACTAGTAGTGAGAACTGAGTTTTTTACTGAGGTAATCTAGCTAGTGCATACTAGGCCTTGAAGGCCAGGTTAAAGTCTTGGACTTGGTTCCAAATGTAATAGAATGCCATTTGAGACAGTTATGAAGTGGGACCTTTAAAGTACACTGAGCTCATAACTTGCCTTTGAGACCACGGGTGTTTTGAGAATCAAAGGGGCATTATTGGCAATTACACTGGAAAAACAGGCACAGACTGGCTCTGTCTGTGGCAAACTAGAGTGAGACTCCTTCTTCATAAAGGCTCCTGTATGTTTGCTAATCTTTTCCCTTATGCAATGCCTGGGAAATCCATTTTGCGTCACAGTTGCCTTTCCCTGGCCAGGGTCACTGAATAGAACTGTTTCCCTTGGTCCTTTTTTTTTTTTTTTTTTTTCATACATGTGCTACTTTAGTTCCTCTGCTGTAATCTTATTCATCCATCAATAAACAGAAGAAAGACCCTTTTATCTTCTGCACGAACCATGCCTGATCATACTGTCTGCAGCTAGCCTCCGGGCCCTGGCAGAGGGTAAGGAGGAGTGTATCACATCCCTAAGATATGACTGACTTGGGTGCTAGTTGCCTGCAGTGTGGTCTCTGACTTTCCCAAAGTTTCTTTTCCAAAGAAAATTTGAGACACCAGGCATTTCTATTGCTTCTTTAATTCTGATAAGAATATGCCAGAACTCCAAGGGTGGGTGGGGTGGGGTAGGGGTGTCATTATATTTGGGAAAGTGTCTGGTTCTGCTCACAGATTAAGAACTATACTTGTCTTGCAAATATGCCACTCCTGTGACCTTGCTTAGGATGACCAGTGAAATTCCTTGAATTTTGATGGCTTAGGGGAGGTCCTAGGGCCGAATACGGAAGGAAGCTTTGAACAGAAAGTGAGCTAGGTGAGTGTTTAAAGCTCCCTTCCTTGCTCTACTGATGAGCCCACAGATGGCTGCTATTTACGGCTGTTAATTTTAAGCAAATGTGGTTTTAACAACCTGCCTGCTGCTTTCTGTTTACATTAGGAATTAAGAACTATAATTTTACTGAGCTGCCCTTTCAGCTCTTTATCTATTCTTTATCTATGTTTTTCTAAAAGGACAGGTAAAATTCAGTTGGTAACCCAGTTTCAAAACACTGAGTCTCAAGGAGAGAGGATGGATCATAAAGCCTTCTCCATTTAAAACATCTGTCTAAGATAAGACATCCAGGAGAGGACATTATCCTGTTAGAATCATTTTCTCTGAAGTAAAAAGCACCAAAAGCTTTGAAATTTGCCCCGTGCTTTCTGCCTACGGCTCAGTAGAGGTTTCTGCCAAGCCTCTTCCTGCAGGCTAACTCCATAAAATAATAGAGCAAAGGTGAGGTTTTAAACTGTCACATGAGCTTATCGTCTTACCTGGATCATCGGTTTGAGTGACATCTCTAGCCTACAGTGTTAAACAGGCCATAAGTAAGTGCTGAATAAATAAACTGATAGCATAGCCTGAGCTTTAATGGTAATTAACAAATGACCATTATATCTGCATCTCATCGAGACAGTCCTGGGAACTGATTTTCACTGCAGTAATTCTTTACTGATCAGGGCTTTTATGAAAGACCAAAGACAGACAGTGTAGTATTCTTGGTGAATGATTTCCCTTAGTAGGAAGCATGACTAACGTTTATCATTCATAACATTTATCTCCATTCATTCTACCAAGATCACATGTCAAAATATATGAATGACATTTTTAATCAAGAGTATTCTTAACATTACAGTTGCAAGGCCCCTCGAAACTAAATTATTAATATTCCTGGTCAAAATTACTTTTCTTGTGGTTAGGGATATTTGATTACTGACAGACAACGATGGGATATACACTAATACATATTCTCCTTGCCGGAATGGTACGTTAAATGCTGCGAACTGAGGAGCTTTTCTTGCTAGGGGACCCTGTTGTTCTCCCACTTAAGTTAAAATCTCAAGACTCACAATGGTTTCTATTACGCAGAAATGTTCATCTGAGCATGCAAATGTTAGGTAAACGCATTATTCTGGAAATTTTCCCTGAAAGAAGCTTGGCATAAACGGCATTACGGTAATTTTCCATCATGGACATCTACTATAATGGAGCTATCAGGGCAGAAATATTTTTTTTTTTTTTTTTTAATGTTCTTTCTCAGGAGATTTTCCCAGGAACTTGGAGACTTGTGCTGCCCTTTGTGGAGCCACTGGGCTTTTTAACTTTTCTAACCCTACATACTGTGTCCTCAGCCAAGTTCATTCTCAATCGTTTCAGCACAGCCTGAGAAACAGTGCTGTGCCTCTGATAAACAAAATGATGTTGCCATTATTGGCATTTAAAAGAAATGCAAGGCACCCTCATTCTTTGCCATGCTTAGAGCAAGTTCTTAGAGGATCTGAAGAGATAGCAGAGTTTTGGAGGCAATTCTTACAAAAGAGAGCAGCTCTTCCCTTCACTGTGGTCAAAGCATTGGATCAGTCGTTTCCTGTTAAGAGTGGCAAAGCCACTGAACTATGGCCACTCAAGTTGGATCTACATCGAAGGAAAAATGCAGATTCTTCAGCTGTTCCTTTTAGGAATGAAATTCTCATTGCTTTGAACTCTCGCTCCTTTCTCCCTCACTGCTCCAAAGCTCAGTTGTCACTGCTCATAGTAATTTAAGTAGCGTTTTAACAACAACGAAGAAAACAACACCCCTAGGCTTCTATCACAAAAGTGGTAGTTGCAGAGTCAATCTTCCTGGTTAACAGCTGTCCCTTGTCAATGGGCTACAGACAATTAACTTTAAAGATACTTTATGGTCAAAGAAGATAGATAAAACCCTCAGACCAGAAAGGTCTTTACGGTGCTGTGGTTACTGCTCACTGTGGCCCCGAGTCTCGTGTATGGCTTTGTTTTCTGATAAAACAGGTAGAGGAGAACTGCAAGCTTAGTCTTTTCTTTTGCAGCTGAGAGCACATCTTTGATTTTATTTTAATGCATACAGGGGAACAAAGTGGTGAAAAAAAATCTAAGGAGAGAGGAAAGATGGGAGGAAAGGAATGAGAAAATGGAAAGTATTTGGGAAGCCATCTACACTGTGATTTACATAAACTGTATGAGGCAGGTGAGAAAGCGACAGTTTAGGACTATAAATACGAAAGATAGTACAGTTAATAAGAAAGCCTAGTCAAGGTTCCTTAAAAAGCATAAATGTTTTAGTTGTGAAGTAGCCTGGCATTTGTGCTAGCTCATGCTTTTTCCTGTAATTATTAATCCAAAGTTAATATTACTATGACTAATATTATAAGTGAAATTTTAACATTTTCACTCATTTTAAATATCTCAAGATATTAATCCATTTTGTTTCCATTGAAAAATTAATGAGAAATTTTTGCAATGGGTGTATGTGTACATGTATATGTGTGTGTATATATTTATATAAAACAATAATCATAATAAAAAACAGGCTATTATTTGGATATGCATAGGAGAGGTTGGAAGGGGACACAAGAGCAGGTGGAGAAAAGATAAGAGGGAGTTATATAATTATATTTAATTAAAACACACACACACACACAAAAGAAAGGTGCTTGAGTAATCCATGAGCAAGGCATGCAGAGTCAGTGAGTGATCATCACAACGTCATGATTCCTGCCTCAGCTCTTGGCTAATGTTTCTGTTTTGGATTCTGTCAATGATGGATTGTCACATAAAAGCATAAGATGAAATAAATTATCTTCTACACACAGACAGACATCATAAAAACTAAACTGTTACTCACTGAAAAAGGAATGGAGGCACAGGAAGGTTAGTTTGTTTATTGTTAGACACAGCCAAAAATGCCATTTTGTTATCATTCTGTATTGATTGGCTAAAACTGCTTGAAACGTATTATGGCAGTCATTCTGAAACGGTAAACTGAACAAACTGGTGAAAACTGTCTGCTTTGTGTGCCCATGAGGTGTGTCTGAATTCTCATAGGTGGGATTCTTGACTTCCTATAAGAATCTGTATGATTTTTATCTTACTGTAAGGCAAACAGTAGCCTTTAACAACTCTTCTAGAGCGATTTGTGTTCTATGCCTACAAATGTAGAATGAATTATCACTAAATCAAAATCTTTAGAAAACATTCACTTTCAAAGCTTGTCACTGTTTAAGATCATTATCACAAGAGCAAAGAAATTTAGGAAAGCCTGAACAGAAGTCTTAAGTTTTGCAGAAAACCTTTTGTCCACAGTCGAAGCTGCATGTATGGTGAATGTTGATGTTTCTTACTGCCCTGGTGCCTTCTTGGATTTCAAAGTTCAGTTCACAGGCAGATACTCAATGTAAAGGAGCTTAATGAACAAGAGTCACTGATCGTTGGCAGGTTACAAATCTGAGGATTCAAATATCTGAATTTGTGCTTTCCTTTCAACATATTTATGGGCATATTCTCAGCATTTTGATCATTTGTAGATCTCTGCAGTAGTCTCTATCTGTTGCAAAAAGTTTATTCGAAAAGGAGTGAGAACCATACTAAGTATTTACAATGTACTTAGAAATTATGTTAATTTAGGGAAATGACATTAGTAGATTTTCCTCTACAATCTGTGGGTTCTCCAGCCACAAGCAGGTGGCAAAGTTTATAGTAACAGGTATGAATTTCCTTTTACTCCATAGGCCTCAAGTCTAGTTTCACAACTGCTGGTTATCTTAAAGATATAAGATATATAAGATATAAGATATATATATACACACACACACACACACATATATATATAAATATATATATATATCTTAAATATATAAGTAGCAATGTGGAAAAGGTACTATGATAGAAGAAAGGTTTATATTTATTTTTGCTTTTAAGGTAAAATTTCTCTAAGAACTTTCAGTAGAATTATAGAATTACAGAGTAGGCCCACCCCGTTTAACCTTTCTTGTTCCCTATTTCAGAGCTTCGAGACACCAAGACCTCTGAATACTTCAGCCTGTCCCATCACCAGTTAGACTACAGGATATTACTAATGGATGAGGATCAAGACCGGATATATGTTGGGAGCAAAGACCATATCTTGTCCTTGAATATCAACAATATCAGTCAAGAACCGTTGAGTGTAAGTTTATCATTGTCATGAGGGAAGTCGTGCCATTATAGGTGTTTTTAAAACTTCAAATACATTGAAAGCAATGTGTATTGCAGTAGATAAATAGAAAATACTAGGCACGTGAACACACACACACACATACACACATACACACACACCAAATTACATTTTACTTCATAACCGTAAAATATGTTTAGTTCAATTCCTCCCATTTGGTTTCAAAAGTTTTAAAAATCAATTTAAACTATGCAAGTGAATTAAAAAAAAAACACTTCTCATACAAGAAATCATGTATTCAAAAGAGAAAAGAGGGAGTTGAGGCGAAGTTTACCATGAGAAGCCTGGTTAGAATAAAAGAATAAGTACCATGCCATCTATGTGTAATCCACAGAGTATGAGCAATACAGCTACCAGCTGCACAGATATTTGAATAAGCATAACTTGCACTTTTCATTATATTTTAGAGTAAGAAAGCAAAATTAAGCACCAGGAGGAAAATTGTGTAAACTCTATATAAGTTTATTATAGGCAGGACACTTTGCAATTACTATATTAAAGGCTGATGACTCAGAAAGTATTTATCTCTGGCAGACATGACTCAAGACAGCAGTGATTTTGAATGCCAGCACTGTGCTACTGAGAGCCTCTGGTTTCATTTCGTGTGTTACATTGTTGAGGTACTTGGAGACGCACTAAAATAACAACATAAACGTAATTCACTATGATATAAGCAGTTGATAAAATAATAAGTCCAAATGTGCATTGGGCTTTCACCTTTATATTTAAAATGACTTAATTTTAACGTACAATTATAAACTTTTATGTATTACTGAACAGGTTTTGCTAGAGAAAAAAATTGATTCGATAAACAATAAGCAAATAGAATAATAACACGATAGTCAAATAACTTGAATTCAGAAGGTAAAAGAATAATTTTGAGAACAGAGATAGTAACACCTCAAAGAAATCAGGTAGTCAGGAGCAAATGAAGACTACTGGGTTACTGTGTACCTAGATGAGATTGTGCAAACTTTATTTTTCTTTCTGAATAGGTTTTCTGGCCAGCATCAACAATCAAAGTTGAAGAGTGCAAAATGGCTGGCAAAGATCCTACAGTAAGTACCTGCATTCTGCATGTACACACACACACACACACCAACTACTTAGCCTTCAGGTATGTGGAGCTTGAGAACAGCAGCAACTGAGATTAGTGGTTTTGGAGATCCTTGGCAGGACAAATGTTGAAGATGTAAACGTGATGGGAAATTTTCGTACCATCTGTAACTTTAGAATTCCTGATTAGTTAAACTCTCCTGCCTTGCTTTCATTATTTAATCCAAACACTTGTCATGGTGGATTTCACCAATAAATCTTGTACCAAGTGGCTCCAACCTGCAGAGTTCTCAGCAGGCTGCTGGAATAACGATGGTGTGAGTGTCTGGAGTTACTCCCAGATGTCACGGGAACTACTCCTAAGATTCCTGGTGAGAAATTAGTCATGAGCCTGCATAGTCTAGATAAATAAGTCAACAGTGATGAATTGTACATTTGTTAATTAAAACAACCACAAAACACAATCAAAGAAGTTATCCATATTGACAAATGTGCAGTGCAACACTTGGGCAAATTGGATTCCCTTAAATGGACTTCAATGGAAAGAGTCAAGCAAGGAAACTGCATTGATTTCTGTGAAGGACTTACAACCATTGACATTAAAGAAATGCATAGAGCTGATCTTTGATGAACACAACAATGCATATATATATATAATATTTATATACATATATATATTACCTTTTTGCTTCAAATCATGAAAAATATCATAATGGAACTAGGATCAAGAATATGCACTCTCACAAATAATTTGGTAAAAGCTTCTTCCTCTGTTCATTTGTCCGTATTCTCAGTCATTTATTTGATGAAGAACATGAAACACTACTTGCATATCTAGCAGAATTTTAGTTACTAAAAACATAATTTGTGTAAACACAGACTTAGTTTTGCACTTTTTCATTATATGTAGTTGAAAAAAGTTGACCTCTTTTAAGTGAGCAAGAAAATGAACGCAAATTAAGGAATGCAATAGAAATATTTGTTGTGTAGAAAATCTAGTGTATTTATACATACACATTTGTGTTTGAGATCATATAGAAGTAGCAGCCTCAACTTTGTGTCCAGAAAAGTTTTACAGAGCGCATTGCAGTAGAGACAAGAGATGTTATAAGCATCAATGTCTGTATGGAGCCATGAAACTAATTGCTCTAAAGAGGTATTGAGATAGGCCAGTTATGCAGGAGACTAATCCATAATGGCATAAAAAAATTAAGTCTGACCTGTCTCTCAAGACAGTCATAGATATAAACTTCTGAAAAGACTGGAGAAAGTCACAGTAATAGAAGACTATAGGGCAGTGGTTCTCAACCTGTGGGTAATGACCCCATGGGAGGTCATAGGTGTCACCTAAGACCTTTGAAAGATACAGATATTTACATTACAATTTATAACAGTGGAAAAATTACAGTAGTGAAGCAGCAACAAAAATAATTTTATGGGTGGGGGTCACCACAACATGAGGAACTGTATCACAGCATTCGGAAGGTCGAGGACTACTGGTCTAGGTTGAAAGATCTCTGAGTGTTATCCCACAAGTGTTCTTGCAAACCATTATCAGGAGTGACTCAGACCCAAGTGGTATATTTTCAATTTTATATCTCACCCAGTTAACAGAACTTAAAAGAGGGAGAAGAAACATGGCAATTCACAGTCTATTGGAAATATAAAAAGTGAAAATCCAGAAAAAAATTTGATGGCCAGCCAGGGAAATTACAGAATACAGTGCAGTGCTGTGGAAAAATGGTGATTTCCTGAGGCTATTCTTTCAATAATTGGGCATGAACTGAACAATTTCCCCTATTCCCTAATGAAAACATTTTCTTAGTGATGCATGTCTGATCATGTCTTGCCTTTTATCATAGCAACATCCCCTAGCAATGGTACTGAGGTTCCTGGTGCCTTGTTCAAGAAGGATTGAATTTCTAATTCATCACAGTTGGTACAGGGAGAATACGCAGACTGCAGATGCTTTTGTATATTCAGTTTCCAAAAAAGTTATCTTGATTTTTCTAAAGTGTCCTAGTCAAGTCACTTGACCCATTTCTACCTTTGGTGAAATAGAAACCCGTTGTTATTTGCTTTGTGATAATTAAAACTTATTTGGTAAAATCTTCAATATGTCCTTACATTTTGCCATGATTTTATTGTGTTGTAATATTAAGCATGAATGTTGTTAATTCTTCTGTATGACCAATAGCTATATAGTTGGGAAGTCATCCATGGAGAGATCTATTCTATACATTTTGATGACTAAGCTAGAAGATTTTGCTTTTCCAGACAAAAATGTTGAGTTCTTGGAAATAATAATCTATGAAATTCTTTCAACTCTTTACTATATCTGTGTAGAAGAATAGACAGTCTAGCAAATACATCTCATGTCCTGTGAGTAGATGTCCGACATGTAAGAGGTATATCTCTGCCCTTACAGAGACCTTTTGTAATTTTGACTTCAAGAGAAAAGTCCAAAGGGAACAAAACAATGAGCACTAGGTAAAATCAGCTTTCTATAAACAATTTATTTTAGTTTACTTCTCAGTGATGCCAAGTGTTTGCAAATGTATACACAGTGTTGAAGTAGTTATCATTCAAAAAAAGAATATTTCACATTTTAAAAATAAGGAGTCTTATGGAAGAAGGGAGGAATAGAAGGACATGGAGGTGGCAGGAGACCAATAAAAATCCTGAGCCCAGGGGGTCCTGCACAGACTGATACACCAACCAAGGACTAAGCATGGATACAACCTAGACCCCCTGCTCAGATATAGTCCATAGGCAGCTCAGTCTTCATGTGGGTTCCTGAGTAAGGGAAATAGGAACAGCCTCTGTCATGAACTCGATGGCTGGATCTTAGATCACTTGCCCCTGGCGATACAGTCTTACCAGGCCACAGAGGAAGAGGATTCAGGCAGTCTTAATGAGACTAGATAAGCTATGGGCAGAGGAGAACTCCCCCTTTCCATGGGAAGGGGAAGGGAGAAGGGGGCTGGAGGAGTTGAGAGAAAGTGCTTCAATCAGGATATAAAATGAATAAATTGTAAAAATAAAAAATAGGAAAAAACAGAAATCTAAAATATAGGAAACTCCTCTCCCCACCAGCACTGGGCTGGGTGTTCTTCCTGTGTGCCCCTGAAACACTCTACCAGTTACTGCATCATTTTTTTTTTTTTAAGATTGGCTTATTTCATATACAGTATTCTGCCTGCGCACCAAAAGAGGACACCAAGATCTCATTATAGATGGTCATGAACCACCCTGTGGTTGCTGGGAATTGAACTTAGGACCTCCAGAAGAACAGCCAATGCTATTAACCTCTGAGCCATCTCTACAGCCCACTGCATTGATTATTGTGTGTCTTGATGCACAAGTTGGAAATGCTATGTGGCAAATGCCATTATCACAGTGCCCAGATCTATATATAGGAACTTCATTAAATGTAAACAAGCTCTGACTTAATGTCGAGTAAAGCAATTAAGCAGGGTACTCTGTTCAGACAGTTCACTAGGCACTGGCAATGGGTCGTGGTAGATGATGAGTTTACTAAGGCTCTAAGATGAACACTATCTACAGCTAATATGTTTATTTCAGAAAATCATCTTGGTGTTTTTAAAGTTATAGTCACCATCTCTTATTAAAACAAAAAGCGGTAGTAAAAATACAGTTATAACAACAGAAAAAAACTAGAATAATTTCATAATTTATGAAAAAAATCATAATTCAGAAATTTCTTTTGCAGCAAATTTTAAATAAAGTTATCTTTTAAGGAGGGGATGGGAAAGTACCTCAGACATCCTTTGTGTTCAATCTCAACACCATATAAGTCCACCATGGCGACACCCACCCAGAACTCTAGCATTTAGATCAGAAGGTTATCCTTAGCCAAAGAGCTAGTTCAAAGTCTGCCAGTTTCCCAAGACACGGGGGAGGAGAGTTAGATTTAGAAGCACTTGTGGGCACAGTGATGGAATTGGCTCAGCATAGATGGTGGTCTTCTCTGAGGCCAAGAATGGAAGCGACACATGTCATTACCTGGCAAGAACCAGGGTAAGAAGATATATGGTGTTATGGTTTCACTCTAGAATACCCTTTACAATCTTATGTTCTGATGACTTAGTATTCATTGTGTGGCACCGTTTTGAAGGTTGTGATCCTTTTTGGAGGTGGGTCCATGAATTTGAAAGAATGAAGGCAGATGTATATATGAAGTATTGGAGAGAGGAAAGGGAAAGAGGAAATGATATATTAATCTCAAAAAATTAAAGAGGCATCTTTGGTATTTATTTTTATTGAAGTCTCTAATACCAAATTTTTTACATATTGGTATCAAAAACAGGACTAGTACTAATCTGTGCAGAACAAATGGCCCAAATCAAAATGTTCCTACTGCTTTTTAATATATTGCATAAAACAAATGTTATTACTGCCATTTTACTGATGCAAAATTTGAACCACAGGAAATCTAATTAACTGACTGAATGATGTTTGGAAAAAGATGAAGCCAAGGTTTGAATTCAGATCGCCTGGCTCTGTGAATTTCATATTTGATTATTATTTATTCCTACCAGTATCTCTCCTGCATATGTGACAACAATGCAATGTGTCTCCTGACACACCAACTCTGGTTATCTCATTGTTTCATGACGTGGAATTCTGTACTCAATGTAATTCTAGGAAATTTACTCCAAAATAAGAAAGTTCCACCCACTCATGTATTTGTTTTAGTTTTTTTTCTTTCTTTCTTTCTTTCTTTTTTTTAACTTTTTCCTTTTTCTTGCATGTGTGTATGTCTGTGTGTGGTTATGTGCATGTGAATGCAACTCCCTGAAGAGGCCAATGATGATGTGCAGTTTAATGGAGCTGGAGCTATGCATGGTTGTGAGCCACCCATATGGCTGCTGAGAACCAAACTCAAGTCTAGTGGAAAAGCTACTGAGATATTACCTCAGCACTATGCCATCATTGTTTGATCATGCTGTTTTCATCTGGAAAAGTCTTCGTTTATGTG